GGCACAGAGGTGAGGCTGACTGGCCTGTAGTTCCCCGGGTCTTCCTTTTTTCCCTTTTTAAAAATGGGGGTTGCGTTTCCCCTTTTCCAGTCAGCGGCACCTTCACCAGACTGCCATGACTTCTCAAATGTGATGGGTAGTGGCTTAGCAACTTCATCTGCCAGTTCCCTCAGGCCCCGTGGATGCATTTCATCAGGTCCACTGAGCTTGTGCACCTTCAGGTTCCTTAGATGGTCTTGAACCTGATCTTTTCCTACAGTGGGTGGTTCTTCATTCTCCCAGTGTCTGCCTTTGCCTTCTGCAATTTGGGCAGTGTGGCTTGAGCACCTGCTGGTGAAGAGTGAGGCAAAAAACTCATTGAGTACCTCAGCCTTCTCCATATCCCAGGTAACCAGCTCTCCCATTTCCTTCTGGAGAGGGTTTACGTTTTCCTTAGTCTTCCTTTTATCACCAGCGTACCTAGAGAAGCTTTTCTTGTTGCCCTTGATGTCCCTGGCCAGATTTAATTCTATCAGGGCTTCAGCTTTCCTAACCTGATCCCTGGCTGCTCGGAAAATTTCTCTGTATTCCTCCCAGGCTCCCTGTCCTTGCTTTCGCACTCTGTAGGCTTCCTTTTTGTGTTTGAAACACAAACCCCTTTTTGTCCAGGAGCTTCTTGTTCATCCATGCAGGCCTCCTGGAATTTTTGCCTGACTTCCTCTTTGTTGGGATGCATCAATCCTGAGCTTGGAGGAGGTGATCCTTGAATATTAACCACCTTTCTTGGGCCCCTCTTCCCTGCGGGGCTTTATCCCATGGTACTCTACCAAGCAGATCCCTGAAGAGGCCAAAGTCTGCTCTCCTGAAGGCCAGTGTAGTGAGCTTGCTTTCAAATGATTTAAATGATTTAAATATTCAAATGTTTTGTGGAAAAGGCCAATTCTATTACACCTGTAAAATTTTATTCTAGGCTCCATTGTATCAGAATATCCCTATTCCAATGGCAACTAGAGGCAGATTTGGTCTTTGCTTTCAGCCTGCTTTAAAATTGCCCTTTAGCAGCTTTTCAGGCCAAAAGATAGTAACTCGAGAAATGCTTTGAAGCACTATTCTATTCAGACTCTTTGCAGTAGACCTTGAGATGAAATTTAGAGATTTCCTACAGGAAACCCCTTTTCTTTTCAAAGTACAGCAAGTAAGCGATAGCTAGAAATAAATTCTGAATGTAATACCATCCTTCTAGAGTGAAACAGGCTTTCTGATGCATACAGCTCCTAAAATGAAATTCACAGATAAAGCAGAATCTTCCTTTTCTCAGTCCCTCCAAATTAGTGTTTTGACAGGGCAGGGAAGAAAAAATGACTTAATTTGCCATGTAGGAATAAGGAACCCAAAGGTATCGGATCACTTTGTGCCACAATGCTCTTCTGTCAATCCCTGCACTAGCAGGGATAAGAATGTTAATCTTCTGATGTTTGAGAAACTCTGGAGGGAGATCACCTGCCTCTGGTTTTCCTCATAAACATGCATGATTGCCCATCCATAAATCATCATTGTTGTGATATGAAGAGTTTTTCCTGAGATTTTGAATGCCATGGCTACATGCACATTTATTCCTTCATGGGCTAGGTCACAAGTATATCTCCTTGTGATGTTTGGATTCAATGACAGAGCTGGCAGTACTATTTTGAAGTACTTGAAGAAGGCTTTTGTATTATGAAGAAGACACTGGTTTTGGAGGCTTTACTCACCATGTGTTTCGCTTACTGTATACAAGCTCTGAAATCACTGATTCAATACTGAGCAAATAAAATACTTCCAGTGAGAAGCATAAGAAACTGGGAAAATATGAATCTGAAATATGAATTTAATAGGTATCATCACCTAGAGAAAAAAAGTCATGTTGGGCTTTTCCATACGGACAGCAGATTTATACGAGTGCTAGTCTTCAGAAACGTTATATCAAGTTATGAGAGATTCTCAGAGATTCATCATAACAATGTTTACAATTGCTGACTTGTCATTAAAAACATATTGGCCTCACAATCAAACTATCTTCCTAAAATGCAAGTGTCCTTTGCTTCAACTGGTACTTACTTTGATGTGTTTTTTCTTGAAATGCACTGTAAACTCCAAATGAGACATTTCTGAATTTCCTCAGAGTTGAGAGAAGAATGTTTATCACTTAGAATAAGCAGATCATGGTTCTCCACAGCTCCTTACCCGAGGGTCAGACATCACTGACTATCATTTTAGATAGGTCCCTAATGCACTGTTTTTTATGCACTCTGAGAGAAGGTTGTATCTAAACAGATCTAAAAGGCAACATTTCTTGTTAGCAGCTAAGCTTTGCTATCCAAGCCTCTGGTCTGTTCTTTCACTATGTTCTTTGTTGTCTTTGCTTTCAGTGCCTGAGGAAGAAAAACCATAAAGAAACTGCTTGAATCCATGTCTCAGACAAGATTCATGGTCCCTAGTTTTGAATTTCTTTTCCTCAGATAACACTTCTTTTATGTCTTTCAGTTTTCTAACTGGAGCTGGATAGAAATGGGTTCATTGGTAAGCTTTCAGCCCAAGTTGTTTGGGAAGATAGGCAACAAGGACTCTACTTTTTGATTTCTACAGTGTCAGCTGATCCCATATTTCTTTGGTGTAGACCAGTAATGAGGATCACCTTTTTGCCTCATCATTTGCTGGAAATGAAGGAGCACACCTGATAGAGATGCATATTTCCACACATGAAATATGTGCTAAATTTGTCTTCTCCTTAAGCAAGAACTACCCAAAGCGCTTATGAACTAACTCTGGATTGCTGGGGAGAAGCACTTCAGGAAGCTAGGTCTGTTGTCTCTCACAGACTGCCTAATTAATTTGCCTAGAGTTAATCTCTTTCTTGCCCCATGAGTTGTCCCAGCATTCTTGGATACACCTTCAGCAGAGCAGCAAGAAAGCTTTTAACACTTGTGATATTCTAACATTTGGTGGTCAAATCATGAGTGGTCAAATCCCAGAGTGTTAAAGTCTTCTCATGTTTAGCCCCTTCTACTTTCCAGGAAAGTTCTTGTAACACTAAGACTAGAAATTGGTCTGGCTAGTTTTAGTCTCACTGTGACTAAATCTGGGGGCTTTTGGGGGTAGTTTCCTCTAACCCTACACTGCAATACTGCCTACTGTACATCTTAGGCAGCAGGTACAGATGCCTGTTGGCAGCATGCTCCTGCTCATAGATGAAAATCAAAATTGAGGCGCCTAGGAAATTGCCAGGCCATATAGGAGGGTTTTTAGAGGGCCTAAGTACCTAACCAGCTATGTAATAGTAATACCTAAGAGTGAGAGGCATGGACCACAACATGCCTCAGGGTAGGCTCAAGGCTGTCAAAATCATTCCTAATAATGTCCAGTGGCAGAACTTCCACAACTTTCCATTGCAATCTATTTGTTAAGCAATTTCCCATCATTAATGTTAGAAAGTTTCCTGATGCTTACTTTAAATTTTGCTTGCTACAGCTTAAGTCTTTATTGTCCTTCAAAGTCTTGAAAGCAAGAACAGACAATGTCTGTCCATCATCTGAAGAGAAACATGAGAAGGTATTTGTGACGACAAGTTAAAGACCCAGATTGGGAAGCACAATGTACATAACTGCTTGCTCCAGCTGAAATAGAGAAACTGTGCAGAAATGGCCTATTCTGAAGTCGAAAATAATCTTATTGCCGATTTTTATTTATTTATTTATGTATTTATTTATTTATTTATTTATTTATTTTCTGTGGGAAAGATTAAACTTGAAGCTGGACATTGGACTGTTCTATGGAATAGGGTTCCCAGAGACAGGGAATGGATCAGGCAACTATTTTCTGAAGTTGCTCATTTCAGAAAGAGAGCACACCCCAAAGTACTGTTCAGAGGAAGAATATTTCCCTATATTTGAAAAGCCTTGAAACAAGAATTTTGGGGGTTATGGGAATTTCCAGTGAGTCCCAGCTGAGCTTTCTACTTTACTCTAAGGTAGAAATGACTTTCTCTACACATGTAACCTCTAAGTAGGAACGTGAAAGGGCAGAGGTTCCAGTGGAACATTTACTAAGGTTGTCTGAAGACTCTCTACTGGGAGGAGAGATATAAGTCTTTGTCTAAAGCCCTAGAAACTATTTTCTCTCTTCCCTAAATACCAACAGAGTTATTTTGGTAGCTATCAGGACATCATCTGCAATTCCGATGTTTTCAGTTGGTGCTGCAAATATTCTTCAGAAAAATGGTCTGTTATAGCATCTTCAGAAGTTTTGAACATACTGGAGATTTCACTTAGGTGAAACATCAGTCCTGGAAACTCTGTCTAAGAACTCTGGTTTACAACATATTGTATGTTTTTTCCTCTTTCTCCTTGATGCAATGGCTTTCCATTTGAACACAGAGCTCTAGAGTAACAGACTGTTGAATCATCTCTGCACTAAAGCTGTGGTATCCAATGTCAGTCTGAGTGATGATTTAATTTTGGCCATCTTCTGAACTTGTACATGCTTCAATGCCACTGATTTGGACTGTATGAGAATTATCACTTGCTTAATAGTTTCATTATGTACTTTGCCCACACACCAGCTGGAAAGTGTTTTCCTTATAATCTAGTCAACTGCCTTGGCATCGACCCTGTCCTGAGTGCCAGCTGGGAAATAGTTTCCCTGCAGCTTGCAAAAGTGTCTCAGAATGGACATTTTCCCCAGGCTGGCTGGAAACAGAAGCTTTGTGGTCTGTTGTCTCTGACTGACACTTCTGACAGAAGAGAGGAGGAGAACTGGTGTTTATCAGACTCTCCTGAAAAAGTCCAAACACTTATTTTCATGATTAGCAGTTTAAAAGAGGAAGGCTCCCAAGCCATGAGAAACCAACAGCCATTTACTTAAAATTCCTGTGAAGCATAAGAATAGAAAAATGGAAGTGAGATCCAACACCCAGGCCTATGTGGTTCTCTCCTTGTTCTCTGACTACTGGGACACAGCTGCCGGGACCATGGTCAGTGAAGGCCTGCACTGCAATCCCTGCTTCCCAGGGAGGCCAGCACTATGGTGCTCCCTATCTACAGTGAGATTCTGGACTATGAAGACAGTCTTCCAGCAGCCATGTCTCCAATAGGAAAGGATGTGCATCCATTTCTGAAGTGGACAGCAGAACCAGGGTACGACAACCACAAACCGCTTGAAGATGATTGTTGGTGTCATGATGCTTCTTCTCTCCTACTTCAGGTGACGAATGGCAAGAAAATTGCCTATTGGTTCCCCCCAGTAAATGCTGAAGTCTTCACCCTTCTCTCTTGACAGGCTCAGCCACACCCCTGCAGTTCAGGATCTCCTGGGTACAAAGATGCACGCATCACAGCTGGACAGAGAGATGACCACACTCCATTCCTTACTAATCTGTTAGTTCCGTTATTTAATGGTGGTGTGGTTGCATGGTTTGAAGTCTGGAAAATAAGTGCTAGGTTTTCAAGTGGAAAAAAATAGTGGCCTGTAGTGGAGGCCTAAGGAAGAACAGAAGATACTAAGGAAGAGGATAAAGCTCAAATTTAAAGAGAGACTTAAAGTCAAAGAATTATGGAAAGTTTTTCCTAAGAAGTTGCCCTAGGCAAAGTGAGATTTATTGCCCTTGTCATGGAGGTTGGTAAGCTCCAGCCTATGAAGACTGAAAGAAAGAATGCTGCACTATTACTCTTTCATTTCAAGAAAAATAAGGATTACAGCAGTTATCGTTTCTGTTCCTTTTTGAGTACAATAGCTAACACATAGAAAATAGTTGCTGCAATTCCTCTAATTTCATCCATCAATTGAATGCTGTAGAAACTTGATTTGTCTAACAGCACTTAAGGCAGTAAGTTTGCAGGCATTATGGAAATACACTTAAAGCAGAGTGCCCTTCCAGAAGGCAATATGAAGCAGAGTGCCCCAATACAGAAGGCAATGAGCTAAAATGTAGAAATCTCTCTCTCAATCACATAATGGCAGGTAATTATCACCATTGTTATTAGTATAGAGGTATGGCCCAGTAGGGGATGTATACTCTCCAGAAAAACTGCATTTATGTTAGGGTAAGGTATTTCCATTTTTGCTGGGCTGGCACTGTATAAATAATAATGACCACAGCGGTGATCTAATTTTTGGCTCCTCCAAGGCTGCATTTCGTCCACAGATGGATCTTTGAGAATAGATATGGTACAGAAAAATAGTTACTTACTGATAATTCGGTTTCTCCTGCATCGTAAGCAGGGCTCAGTAAGCTGCCTGTTGTGCCTTTTTCAGAAAACGGCCCAAAGCCCAAAGGATACCCCACTGGTGGTGATGGAGATTTATAATCTATTTTCTTTTCATGACCTCTGTCAAATGTATGAGAAGATAAAGTGCTATCACTTTTTGGACCAGTGGTATTGCCTGGGCCATATAAAGCAGGGCTACAGTTTCTGTGGTATCCACTGGCTGTGAACATAGCAGGCTGTTGATGTTCCACTTGCCATGCATCTTTCTTTTGTAAAGTTCTAAAAGAGAAAAAAAAACAAAGTATGAAAACCAGTTAAAACTCTAAGCTATCACAGCAAAGCCGAGGTTGGTTTTATTTTATTTGTTTGTGCAATTTTGATTACTTAGCTGTTCAAACTGCTTCATGCATGAGGTTATGGGCATAAGATTAAGCATTACCAAGTTGCAGCAATATAGCAACTTTCCACCTACGTTACTGTAAATGTCTGAGTGTGCATTCTCTGTCTGCTTCAGCTGTGACTTAAATCACACTAATTTAAACCCTTTCATTGGAGCTAAAGTTGAGTAGCCTTGCCACATAATTGTGGCAGGACAAGAGCTAAAACACAGACTTGCTTCAGATAGTGAAGATACCAATACTCCTTAAGTGTTTGTTACCCATCCTTTGCCAAAGGTTATCATTCCTTTAGCTTTTTGGTGGAAGAAGCTATGTAGGCACTCTTCAGCCATGCCTTGAGAACTTAGCTTGTATTATGATAGGAACTAGAGTGAATTCAGCCACACAAATAAAGGAAATGAAAGATGAAAGTCTAAGTGAAATGGAAAACAAAAACTGTTATTAGTGGTTGGATAATTAGTCAATTTTGATCTAATATCACCTTAAACAACTATGTTCAAATAGCTAGAATTTAGAATAAATGTTTAAATAAGTTAAATAAAAAAAATAGTACAGGAATCTTTGATCCTGCGTTTTTACTGCAATACTAATTTTGCCACTGATTTAATGATAACACGTTGGAGATTAATATGAGAAATAAAGAAATTTTTAAAGTACACTTTTTAAAAATTGTACAAGAACATGCTTTTATAACAATAAGCTTACAAAAGAATTTTTAAGTATTTTATGATGATGTTCCATAACTCTTGTATCCCACTTATAGTGACCAGAATGGATGTGAAAGCACATATTTGTATTAATGTGTAGTTCTGTAAAGCAAAAAATATTATGGTTAACTTAAAAAAAAAGAAAGCTGTTTTCTTCCCATTCAAAATATCTTCTTTTCCTGACAGTTAACTGAACAATTCTGAAACCGTATTGATAAGAGCAGAGAATTTTGAGACTAGCTTGCCCAGATGTCTGCTGAATTAGACTAATTTTCAATTGCATCTTTACTTGTATTATATACCAAACCATGCAAAAAAATTAAATTATTTCAGATTTTATTACATTTCTGTTACGATATTTCTGACTGAGGTAAAAATTTCCATTGTACCGAGGTCTGTGCTTATGATAAAATTGAAATTTTAGTCTTGGGATGTAAGTGCTATACTTAAACATGATAGCTGTTTGAAAAGATCCTATCACTGCAAATATCCTAAAACACTTTACTAATTTGAAATGCAGCTATAAAAGCTTTTAAAGATCAAGTTCTCTGCCACTAAAATATAATTATTATAAACATTCAAGAGTATGCAATGCTGCTCAGAGCCAAGGAAAAGAGCTTTTCTTTTTTTTTTTAAATAAAAAAGAAGAATTTGCCAAGCAGAGGGAAACGGCAGTGTTTTCTGCAGAAAGATCACACCATCATTTTCTAATCTTAATTTAAATATTTGGTGTTGGGAGAGGGTGGCTGTGCCGTCTTAATGGACCCTGCTTGTACATAAGCCCTGAAACATGAAACTGAGTACTCCACAAATAGACTGTGCAGAACAACTCAGAGCACTAATGAAGAACATATTTTTCTCTGATTACAAAAGAAGTAGTTATTAAGATACTCTGAATGCTACAGGAAAGCAAATTATAAGCATGATGCTATAATATTATTATTACTATAATATTATTATTACACATTCTGACATAAAACTCTGAGAATATTCACCAAACCTTCCAGTTTTCTAAATCACCTAAAATGTTTACTTTTATGGGGGCAGAGTTTTTCTCCTTTCTTTCATGCTTTTCTTTAAATAAATACACTCTGCTCTTTCGGCACAGGAGAATACCTTTTTTCTTTTTTTTCCCCGTGTTTTAAAGTCCATTCCATCTATTGTTTGGATGAAGGGCACAGTGAAAAAACCTGCCACAGTTGAAGATAGATGGCATGAATAATAAAATCACAGATTTTTTTTTCATCTTGTGTTCTGACCTTTTTGGAAGTAATTTCCTCCGTAAACCCCCAGTAAAGTCTACGTGGTCTATGTTCTTTTTCCCCCAGAACTGCTTCTCTATGTATTTAATAACAGTTATTACTCTTACGTTATAGCTTCCTTCACCAAGACCAGAATGTTCAGACTTGGGTGCCTACAGTTATGCTAGCTTTTAGATAGTAAAACCAGATATCCCCCCCAAAAAATGACTGATTTTTTAAACGAACTCCACTTCCTACTCTAATCCATAGGATTGCTGAGGCTGTTTGCTATCTTGGAAAAACATGACACCTCCATTTAGGTGCTTTGATATGGATACTGTGCCTTCACTTCAGACAGATTTCACAGTTGGAGTTTAAATTTCTGCCAGTTCAGTGCAAAATAATATCTAAGAACAGAGTTGTACTTTGAATACAAATGTAAAGGTAAGCAAATGTCTGCAAATTTGTAAAAAACTGTCCATTTGCTAACACTGGCAATGCAAATACACTATAACTGCAGTTGAGTAACTTATGCTTTCAGTGGATTTACTGTCACAGAGTATTTAACATATACACGCACTCCACAAAAATAATATCGCTGTTGACATGGCGACATATGGGACAAGAAGTGAAAGAACAATGTCCTCGCAAAGCGAATTTATATAGACAGGATCGATTTTTCCAGACTCGTATATAAAATCAGCCTGGTCCCTATGCGATCAATGACTTCAATAGCGCAAAACAAATTCCTTACGCAGCTTGTGCTGGTTGACATACCTAGTCTCGGGAAAGAAAACAACAGATCTTTAATGATTAGAATGTCTTCAGCATTCTTGTTGATGCCTTTACTTTGCAAGTATAACTGCTAGCTTGATTTTAAAAATGGTTAAAAAGTACTTTCCTGAAGAGATCATTTTCACTGCTTCCAGTTTATTTATTGCAATAACTGATACAGTGCTGAGTATGACTAAGGGTGTGTGACCTCCAAAGGGTAGTGAAAACCTCCTTAAGACAGATACTTCACTGTCAACACAGATCCTTTTATGCAATCCCCAGCTACCTTAGCAGGCATTCAGTCCTAGCCTTTACCCCCTCACTTCTGCCACGTGATGAAAGTGCACTTTGGCTTGACTAATTACTTATTTTGTGTATATTTTTATGGTAAATAAGTAGCCTTTCATTTGGGAACTCACATGCATGTTTTAATTTTGGAAGAAACAGGCTAAACACATCAGCTTCATCAGAGAAAGCCCTCTTCAACCATGTCAAAATTTAAATTAACTGTATGTGGGTAAGGTCTGAATAAAGGAGTGAAATCTTGAAGGTGGGGAAAGCTTATGTAAATGACAATTAGAAGTAAGTCATTTATCATATATGAGAACAGTAATTAACTAAAGTGGTTATAGCTAGGATGCGACCACAGTCTTTTTTAGCAAAAAGATGCCACTCCTGCATATCTTACTTTGTGATGTTTAGAAATTCACTGTATACTGAAAGAAAGAAGAAATCATGCCTCTTTCTAAATCGCCAGTATAACTTCCTGCAATTTCCTGTCTTTTCTCTAGAGGTCTCCTATCTAAGTAATGACTGTGCCCATGCCTAGGATTCTAGTACTGATTGTGAGGCATGACTGAAAAATATTATAGAACATGCTTAGTCGAAGACCTTTTTTTTCATTGTGCAAACCTTTCTCGGTTTCTGAATGCAAACAGGAAAAACAAAAAGTACAGCTTCTGAAAATTACTATTTAAAACGCAAACACACACACCCCCCTTGCACAAACACCATGCTTTCTATTTTTTTACTCTGTAAAAAAAAGTCTTTGTGCCCTTTCTCCAGTGCCATAATTACCATGGAAACAGAACTGCAAATTAAAAGAGAAATAACATGGTTTATGCTCACAATAAAATAAAACATACCCCAGAGTTTAACTCAACCAACATAAATTTCCTGGTTTATCTGCATACATTTGATGGTTGAAAATTTAATTTTAGTTTTCTGAGAAAATCTTGAGGTAGTTCCCTGTTTGGGAACAGAGAACTAACAGTATAGAGAGGGCCCGATCTTAAAAAGACTGGCTGGCTGATGTGTATATACAGTACACGTGGAATTTGAACATTTTTTTAAATCTGTGTCTGTATTTATTTAGCTAAATAGCTTTTCGCTTAGGAAATCAAATGCATGTATTAGATCCTGAAAACCAGGCTCAATATATCTGTTTCATCAGATTAATTAGAATAATAATTTGTGTTCAGCACTGTGGCTGAGATTTGTGTTATGAGGAAGGTTAGCTCTCCCAGGTTTCTCTCCCCCAGTTTTAGTTTGAGAGTGGTCTTCAGTGGCTATGAAATCAAAATCCTGCAAATTACCTGCATAGTTCTATTGCCTCTTACATTTAAATTCTCATGAATGAAATTTCACAGTTCCTCATGTACAGCAAGTGTAATTCCTGAGAAAATGGGAAAAAAATCTTACTTTTTCTCACCTAAGAGTGGAAGGATGAGCAAAAATTGCGTTGACCAAGTTTTGGTGAAATTATGCGACCTACAGGTGCAGAATAGTCTGTATCTTGGTTTGTAAATGTTTGTTTCAGCAAAACCTTCAACATAATTTTAAACTTAGTAGGAAAACAGCCATACCTGCCTCTTCCATATATATACATGTGTATATGTGTGTATATATATGTACATACATACATATAATATATATATTTACATACACATGAATACTATCCACAACACTAAACATCACATTTAAAAGGAAATTTTAGGCAGTAATGTAGCTACGTATAATGGGGTGCCTTTCTGTTTTGTAGAAAGAAAATCACTTTACCTTTTGCCAAAGACGGAATGTGTAAGTTCGAAATCTTAACCTGTACAATTTTGGCTCCAGTTATGTAAACTTTGCTTCACAGAACTGTTTTACATTAGCATTATCATGTAAGTTCTGTATTACAAATGGTCAAAATATTTAGCTTCCTATTAATTTTTACTCTCCTGTACTGTGAAATATTGTTTAGCAGGGAGTTTAGTTTTCTTTTTGTTACTGCAATGCCATGATTGTAACATGTTTGAAGGTAATTCAGTGTTTCACTGAATACAGGGAATTAAGAAGGAAGTCATCACTACAATATGTTTTCTACGAGTCTGAGTATTCTTAAGCCTCATTATTTTTCCCTAACAAGGAGTTTATTGTAGTAACGATTTATTCAGGGCATCTGAAATTACGTTTCTTTTAAAAATCAGGTCACCCAAGAACACCAAAACTAGACAAGGCATTAAAATACATTTAATGAAACTTCCAACAAATGAAACTGGCGGG